GCATAAACTTGGACCACTTGTGTATATATACAAGATTATCAAAAGTATATCACAAATTAAGGCAGGTCATCCCTGATATTTTTTTCAGAAAGCCCTAGTGAAATACAACTCGAAAACAATATCAGGATTGATATCCCATAATTTTTGATATACTTTCAATATACTTGTATATATGCACAAAATGGTCAAAGTTTGTGCAAACCGCAGTATGTATATATGTATATGGAATTAATTAGAATTTGCACTATATTTACTAGGATTTCATTCATCAGTATGTTGTATTATTTTGAGACATAATTTCTTTTTTTACTTCCAAATTTATATGATTTTACCTTGTTTTTTAGGTTCCACTAGGAGTTATGGCCAAGAATGAAAGCAAAAACGAGGACATGGTGGATATCTTAGAGACCATACAACAGAAATATGTTCCATTCATACAATCAGACTCAAAATCAAAGACTCAAGCCGACTTGTTATTCTTTGTTGGAGACCAATTAACTGAAGAACGTGCTCGAAACATCCAGAGGGCTAGAGCTGATGATGAGACCGAGATGGAGAGGATTGATAGTGTGGCCAAAAAACGAAGATTGGCATTCAATAAGAACAGCATATAAGGTATTCAATATAAGTTATTTCATGGTGTTGCCATAGAAACGCCCACAGGTCAAGACAATCAAACTGACTGCACTATTACTAATATAGTAATAATAATAATAATGATAATAATGATAATGATAATAATGCATCTTTATTGATACTGATTAAAGAACAAATCAATATAATAAATATAAATTTTACGAATATATAAAAAATAAATTTTATTTTTTTGTAATTTCTGCTCAACAAGAGATGTAAAAGAATAGGAAACGCCATTTTTTATTAATTTAGGGAATTCACATTAGGAAGTATCCTGACAGCAGACCATTGATGTTCTTTTGCCTTCAGCATTTTTTTTTTTTTTTTCAAACCAACTGGTGTAATATAAAAGCAATAGGATGTACTCAGTGCTAAATAATTCTTGTAATATCATTGCAGGCTGTAGTTTCCATTCTGAGAAAGGAAGGGTCACAGTCCGACTGGGGAACTTACACATCAAACGCTGTGATAATGGGTAATTTCAATGCCTCAAAGGATGTTGAGTCAGAACACTATGATCAAATTAGAGAATTCATGTCCATAGAAACTGATGCATTTATTGTATCAGCTACACTACATCACTTTGGTATAAGTAGTCCTGATGACACATTGGTTGAAAATAAACCACCAAAAGGTCTTCAGAAAGCTAGCTGTTTGGAAAAGAGAATATGGCTTCATAATCAAATTGATGCAATGTTTCACCAGTATGTTTCTGACAGTTTTTCCTCCCTGAGCAAGACAAAGAATTCAATTGAAGCCCAAACAGCTACAGCACAAGAGAAACCCAGATTGTCTTGCAGAAGTAATGGATGTTTCTTTGTATATCCAAAGTGCAGATTGAACCATGAGGAGGTTCATGGTATCACCATTGAAGATTCCACACGATCTCCTGTCTCAGAAGAAAAGTCTCAAGAGGAAAAAAAGGATGTAAAAGACGACTTCATTGTCAATTATAGCTGCCTTCACATTGCCTTAGGGCTTTTGCTTCGAAATGCTGAAGACTCAGTAAAAGAAGGAGATGGTGAACGCCTCATACGAGTATGGAAGTTTCTTACATATATCTTTCGCCTGAAGGGGCATAACAAATATGCTTTGGCTGGACTTCGTCTTATAGCTTCATTAGAGGGTCTCCTTACTCCTCACCAGGCCCACAGACTTACTTGGAACAGATTTGCAGGGAAAAAAGAAGGGCAAGGAACAAGAATATCACGAGATCTCAGAGTTGAACAGCTAAACAAGATAGCAAAGGAAGAAATAAGAGCGCTAGGCTTTCCAAATATAAATGAAGATAGTGTCATGAATACAACAAGAGCCACAGCAGCCATTGAAGAAATGCAGGTGCAAGCAAGGAAAGACCTTGGAATGAGTTCCAGATCTGGATACCATTGCAACAAGAGATCAATCCAAACCTTTCAATGTATCCTGGAAACAAGTCCATAACAAAGCCAAAATTTTCAAATTCCAGCCTGGGAGGAAGTTTCTAGTGTGTCCCAACCTGAGTAGGGAAATATTTGCAGATCTTTCACCTAAAGGCCTGCAGAGGTGGATCAAAAAACACAGAAATCGATGGCACAGGCAAAATATTCACCGTTACGATATTTATTAGTCCAAGTGAATGACAATGGGTGTTCACAAAAGGCCTTGCAATGATTTCATACCAGAATTTGAATGAATTATCAACTTGATTTATTAATTCAGTTTAAAAATGAAAAAAGAATATTTTCTTCTCATGATTAACAAACAAGGTTCAGTTGTTATTTTGAGAAAGAAGTAAATATATCAAGGTGATATTTTTTTCAAAAGTTATTTATATGGCAAACCAATAATTTTTGTGGAGGCCGAACAGTGAATTGCAAATAGTGTTTGTTATAGAGTTTATACATTGTTTTGTTATAGAGTTTAAATATGTATATGTATATATATAAATATGTAAAATAAGTGTAATTTCGAAAGTGCTCTAGATTACACCTGATTTCAAAATAGTGCGAACTCTCGGGATTTTCAGTTTCGGTCGATCTTCGGCACTCGACCGACATCACTCGACGGCTTGGTAACCAGGCACGGCTCGATGGTCGACCAGAAAGGTGAAAATGGATTCCGAAAGCTCATCTGATTGCCCAAAAAGAAACGTTCTTATTCATTTCAAAACTCGAGAGGGAAAAGCAGATGGAGAGCCCATAGCATCACTTTTCAATGAAGAGGCCTTTCAATCAATTAAATTCCTAAAATCCGAGATGAAAAAGGTACTTTACGACGTGTTGTCAATGGATCAAGACGAGGAAAAGGAAACCGTAATACTTATAGATGCACTATATTATGTTATGAAAGCAAAACGAAACTTTCCGCTTGTTTCCATCTTAAATGAAGCTGGTATAAGACAAGCGTTGAAGGAATATCCTCAAATGCAGAAAAACGGTCATCGCAGTACAGCTTTGCTTCGCTTTGCTTGTGACTGGCACAAGAAAGGTAGGAAACTTGATAATTACCTTTTCAAGCTAACAATCTATTAGGCTAGCTATTAGGCAATCTACTGGCTAGTATGGAGAAAAGAGGATTGGGGAGAGGGGGGCTAGGATTGGAAAAATATGAGACTAGTATGCAAAAGAAAAAAGTGGGAGGGCTATATTGTAGCCTACACCGTCTCCGGGGTTCCCATGTGGTATATTATTAAATAAAAAGGTTCTTGAAACGAATTCTGTTTAKTAATTTTTAATGTGAAAGGTTTTTTCTTAATAATTTATAGGAGAAGCAGTTCAAACAAGATCCTCACCAAGGAACAAGGTTGGTCAAAGCAATTGTGAATCACCAAATAAAGAAATCCCAAATTACAAGATACGAATTGAAGTACATGCTGGAGTTAACCTAACTAAAAATACTGCAGATGGACCAATTCACACTATCTATAATGTTAACTCAAAGGAAAACCTTACTGTCATCAAGAAGCTTGTAAGAGAAAAGGTACCTGGTGCATGCTTAAGAGCTGGATTCTTCTGGTTACAACCAAAAAATGTGAAGCCTCTTCACACACTTCACTCAGACMATGATTTGGAAACAGCAAAAGATGCCTACCGTGATGACATTATGGGCTTTGTTTAAGTGTTGCGCCTGGCTACTGTGGTTGAAAGTGGTAATTAAGGAAATTATTTATACACCCAATTTATTGATTCAGAAAAACAACATTAAAGTTCATTTTAATCAAATTTTTTTAGATTTTTATTTATTTATGACACAATTTATTGAAAAAAAGTGAGACAAAATTTGCACTTGTCCTTTCACTATAATTGCACAAACAGGGTTGCCACTGACCTTGAAAAGTCAGTAAAATCAATTTTTTTTTCAAGGTCAGGGAATTGTCAGGAAATTTTACATTTGGTCATTTAAAAAAATGTGAAAATGGTCAAAAATTCAGGGAATTTTGTTTTACGAGGTGAGTGGGAACCATGTTTAATGATTATTTTATGTTTTCTTAGATGGAGAAAGAATACAAAAAACAAAGCGTTCACTTGTCCCAAGTGCATCCAATGTTGGATCTAAGAGCTCACTTGAATGTATTCCTGTTGATATTGATGGAGATGCTGAGGAATTTGATGATGAAGCATTTACCAAATTTCAAAAAACAGTTTCTGGGAGCAAAACTACACTAAAAGATAATAATGCTGAATGGAATAAAATTCACATTGAAAAGTCAAATGTGACTGCCAAAATGACCTGCCCTCTTACAGAGTTATTTACAGCCTTGAAATAATAGTATACGCTGCTCTAAATATAAATTGACGAACCTAGGAAGAGTCATCGCTTGTGTCACATGTTTCAGAGATGTCCGGGAAGTAGAAATCATCCCATTTCAAAATAGTAAGGTCATCAAAATCCTTAACTATGTCAATGTCTGCAAAAATATCATTGACAACAGTTAATATTTCTAAGGCAACTTGCCTTTCTAGGATGGAAAAATTTTCCATCACATCTTGAACTGTAAATAATTGCTCCAAGTTATTGCCAAGTTCTTTAATGGTTTCATCATCTAGCATATTTTGAAGAAATCTGGACCCAAGAACAGAAGTTTTCGCACATGTTCATTCTTGATATCATTCAAAACAGAAATAAAGGTTTCTCTCTGTTCAGAAGACACTTGGCAACTCAGTATGTTGTGTTTCATATTCAACAAGTCAATTTCAACACTTTGATACAGCTCTGGGGGGCAAGAACCACAGGTACATTCTTTGGCAAAAATATCACAACAATTGTGTAAGACAGACATTTTCTTTGCTTTAACTCCAAAAAAATTTACTATGTCCAGACGACGACAATGTCCCTTATTTTTTATGAAGTCCCTCATTTTAGAATCACAGTGTCGGAGATGATAATTTCTGTAGTACAATACAGAAAGGACACTGCTACCATCCCTGCCTCCTCTTCCCACGGCTTGAACATAACACTCGAAATCCTCTGGAATTCCATAATGTAACACTCTATTGATGTCTGGGATATTTACTCCCATCCCAAGCGCACTAGTAGCAATGACCAACCTTATTTGACCATTATGCTTTACAATGTCACTTAGGACTTTGTCCTTGATCCTTTGAGGAGTTCTTGCGGGATACATAGCAATATGCTCCACATGTGTTTCTGATAAGCATTGGAGAAGGGTGTCATAGATGTCCCCGCATTCTTTGAAGGAAGAACAGAAGACAATGGTTTTCTTGGTGTTCCTACCATTGTCTTTCAAGTCATTGATAAGCCAAGAAAAGGTCTTGTGAAGGTCACCCATTTTTGTTGGCCATTTCCACCACATATTTGATATTTTCTTTGTCAGGAGAAAGATAAACAACTTGCGTTTTCTGCATGTGAAGCATTTTTATAATTTTTTTCCTGGTTGTGGCACTTGCTGTGGCTGTCAAGCACAGTATTGGAGCTTTCACAATGGCTCGAATATTTCCAACCTGTGAATAAGCCACACGAAATGGTGATTTTCCTGACCCTGCAGTTCCCCTTTAAAGCAAAATAAAACAGCAAGTCCTTAATGAATGATATTATGGATCGAAATGTAAGATTTTTGTTTTATTAAATGATTCAGACTTAGCTAGTATAGTATTCAACAATCAGATATTTGGCTAATAAATACATATTTTGCCAAAGAAGTTGGGCTTAGCACATACTAAATGATATAAAGAATTCACTATTAGCTTACCAATTAGCTACACAATGCGGTTCATCGACCACGACTCCAACTATGCGCTTCTCGAAAGTTTTGATGGTCAACAAACGACCAGCAAGCGTTTCTGGACTTGCAAAGCAGCTTGTAGCCCTAACTTTTGACAAGCGAATATTTGGTCGCTTATCAGTGCCTGGAGTGGAGCTATTACTACTAAGAGAGGATTCGTAGGGTATCGACTATTGTTTGCGGGATCGATTTTTTGTAGATGTTTCACCAACGGAATTACGAGCTGGAAAATATATGACTTTCCGTGACCTGTGGGAAGCGTAACGAACGTATCTTTGCCTTCCATGAAGCTTTCGAGAGATTTCCTTTGTTGGAGAGTTGGTTCGAATTGATTCTTACTTAATAAAACGTGCTTTAGAGCGCTTTCGAAATTATACTTGTTTAACATGCTTTCCGCCATTTTGCTGCACGATGCGGGCTCAATTTTGGTCATCGGCCATATCTTTTAAGGTATTAGGATAAGTTTACGACTACTATGCGCGCAAACTTAAATAACGCGCTGGCTTTATAGTATAACACGAACAAAGTATACATTTTCTGAAAGCTGAGTAAATATAGTTTATGAAGAAATTTTCAAAATACGATTTTTTTAATTGTTGTTCACATTATTGCCCTCGAAGCGAAATTTGACCATGCCTCAGTGAAAACGTTAACGGCCACGTACATTTTAAGCTATGTTTGCGAAAAATGGCTTAACATACTCAGGAGATAATAAGCTCAAAAAGGGTGTCCCAGATTTTTGATATCTGTTTTCTATCTCTCGCTATTTTTGATCAAAGTTCAGCGATCGCTTTTGGAGTGTTGTTTAGAGTAAAAAGCGTCATAACTTTGGAAAGAAATTAAATTTCAAAATTCGGAGACACCCTTTTTTGGATCATGAGTTACTTTATAAACCCTCCAAATTTTAAAAAAATCGAATGAAATCCAAGGGACTTTTAGCTTTTTAAAGTTGAGGTTTTAGCGGCAAAAAAGATTCGAGAAAAACACATTTCTTTGTTTGGAGCCGGAAGCTGCAGGGAGCCACGATGGTGTTGGCCAAAACACCTTGAGCCTTCCATTTTGTCATCACTTGTCAAATTATCTGGTGTTCTGGACGATCGCAATGTAGGATCCTTTTACAATGACAAAGGAGCATGACAGATGTGCATATATTAAGCGACGGTACATTTCCGGTCTTGATAAAGTCACGATTTCGAATTTTCTCAAAATTTTGGCTTTTCCAATCAAAAATTGCAAGAAGTTTCACAAACATATGAAAGATAACAGTTTAAAATTACGAAATTTAAAAAAAAATTTTTTTTTTCGAGCAATTCGTCATTTTTCGTATCCTAATACCTTAATGCAGGCTCACGCATCAAAACCGGTTTAAACCAGTACGAAACCTGAAATTATGCATCTCATTATCCAGATTCTTGGATAACGGCACTACAAAGGAAATTCACGATTTCTGCAGTCTCCTTTCCTTCTCTCGCCCGTAGAGGAGTTAAAAGGAGACTCTGCTCGCAGGGTAGGTAAAGAGTAATGATCCTTATAAATGTTATAGTTGTGGAGGCACTGATCACCAGTGGAGCAAATGTAAACAGAGATAAAACATGCCATAAGTGCCACAAAAAGGGTCACATTGCTAAAATGTGTAAGCAGAAGGATATCCTTGCTGTTGAAGAATCCTTAAGAGATTTCCAAATGGTGTTCATTCAGGTCCTGTAGTCTTCCAGAGAACCAGGGACGCCACCCTACAAGGAATAGACAATGTCATATGCAACATTGATGACATTCTTGTTGCTGGTGCTACAAAGGAAGAGCACCTACAAACACTTTCACAAGTGTTTGAAAGACTTGGTTCTGCTGGATTCAAGTTGAATCAGAAAAAATGCAACATAAAAAAGGCAAACATTTGCTGCTGCTGCATATTGATAGTTTGAAATAGTATTGCCACGAGAGCGAAGTATAATGCTTGATTCGGGTTCATGTTGTTCTTCTTGTACTTAATTGAGTGATCTACACAACTCTCTCTCTCTCTCTCTCTCGTTTTACAACTGTGAAAAAACTACGCACTGGAAATTTCAACGCACGTGCTAAACACGTGATCAACAAATGTTATGCATGTGAGGGGAGGATTACCGATTCTGCATAAGGATATCCATACCATTACAAAATGACTGAAAATCACCAGGAGGAATTGCCAATTTCATGCCATCATCAAACCATCATCAAACAGTTATCATTTTATTTTAACTTATCAAATCATGAATAATTCATGAGGAAAACACAACAGAAATCACGACCGTGAAGGGAACTAGGAACTAACCGTTTGATAAGTCATATATAGTATTCGTGTCCGTGTTGTATCAGATATACAATCATTCGGCTACGCCTCGTGGTTGTATATCTGATACAACACGACCACTCATACTGTATATATTACATAAAAATGTCAATACAATACAACAACAAAATCATCAGACATTACCTTCTTTTCAGCAATATGTACATAAATGAATCCCCAGTGCTTTTTGGTTTGAAAATGGACAGGAAGTAAAATTTGAGTGATGCTGGAGATTTTGGATTGTACAACTGCCTTTTTCAACTGCTCCTTGATATAAGCTTTGTCTGGACACTTCACCCAATCAAAAAAATCTATTGTGTTGTAGCTTTCCTCTTTTTGCCCTTGTTCGAGAAATTTTACAACAGAAATATCTATAACCAAATTGCCTGTGTATCTTTCTTCAACAAGATAGGGCAAATTGATGGGTTCAATTGACGTTGTATACAATAGTGCATTTTTGAATTAGTCCTGATTGATTGTTTGGGATGCCTGTACTTTGCAGCCATTGTTGTTCTTTTTTGTACTTCCACTTCTTGGTTTTTGTGATAGCAGAATTTTTTCATTTCTCCTAGGCCTTTTTCTGTAAACTTCCCAAAACCCAATAAATGTATGCCAGTGGGATTGGTGCTGCATCCTCTCTCCATTAACATTGACTGCCCCGATTACTTCCGAACAGGATACTCAAGAAAACGTATCGAACGTTGTATGTGGAAAGGGTATGCAATGCGCATACTACAGTTTATTTTAAAAATGCAAGGGTATTCTTGGTTTTTCTATCTTCAAACCTTGAATGTTATCGCGTATTTCATTTGAGTACGTAGTAGTATTCCAAGTCAGGCGTTCATTTTCGATCGTCCCCGTACCATACAAAATATATATCATATATACATTCGGAGCTCTTCATTATAATTACAATAAATGAGCTAGGAGCCTAACATAATGTTTGTTATATTATTTATACCGTTTCAAAGTTTCCCAATGATTTTTACAAACTGAAACTAGATTTCAAGGTCATTGCAAAACTTGCATAAAAAGTTAAGAAAAGGATACAACAACCATGTCTACAGTATTTGCGCAGTGCATTCATCACTTCCTTGGTAAGACATTCATTTCTCTGTTCTGACCGTGTTATCCTTGTCAGGCACATTGTCTCTTGTTCTTTTCCTTAAACAGAAAGTGCATATGGTATCATGATATATTAAAGAAGATTATCATATTCATTAGGGTGAAATCCAATGAGAGCACTAGTACCGCTGGTGTGAATCTTCTCGTTTACTTCATCAATGTGGCCCGATATTTGGGCAACCGGCTCTGCAAGCTTGTTGTGGGCGTTCTCTAACACTTTCAAGGACTTTCTCTGTCCTCTTATTTGCACGGATATTTCATTCAAAAAATCAAACATCTCGCCGTCTAGATGTAAGCGGTGTTGGATCGTCTTCTAACCTTCGACGGCCAGAATTCTGACCAGTACGGTAATATGTAAATCAAATAACAGGCTTAGATTTCTTTTAAAACACTCCTAAAGCTAAAGAATATGAAAAGAGCCATATTCATCATGTAGTGTCCTCCAGCTCTCGAGTGGTATTTCAAGTTATTAGATAAAAGAGAGTTGTTTTAAATAAAAAAGAGTCCTTGAATAATTGCTCAATCACAAAAAGGCTAGTATTGCAATTCTAATTGGAATAGTAAAAAATCATTAACGAAGTCTCAACATTTTAAGGAAAATAATGGATGGGCTTGACTAAAGTTTTCAAATAGATAATGATTAACTTTTTTGGGAAAATTAATTCAACTTGTAGTGACAAAGCATGCTCCGATTGTCACTCCACAGTCTTGCCATCCGTTAAAACAGGGAAAATGCTTAATGATATATGGCCAACGTTCTTTCGCGTTCCGCGGAGCTAAAATTTGGAACGGTCTCCAGAAAGACTTAAAATGTATAAATGACTCTAAAATTTTTAGAAAACGACTTTTTAATTATTTAGTTTCAATAAAGTAGTTTAATTTACATATTGATTATAATT